TAAGTGTAAGTTTTATAAAAAAAACAGTAACAATAAGAATAACATCTTTTTGTTCTGAAGTGCGGTATGTAGAGAAATACAAGAATTTCAATTGTAAAAAACTTATTGGAGTCCGCGTGCATGCGGCGCATTAGCATATTGCGATGAATCGATCTTTCTTGACTTTTTGCGGAAATAACTTGTACGCATAGTGTTGCCGATCACGCCACGGTCGTTTGTAGTTTCAAGACGTGACAAGCTCCCGAACGAAACGATTAAAGGTATTGTTTCAGTTTGATTGCGGACGCGATATGGTCAAACGGAAAAAGTTATAATTATATATCTTCGGTTTAATGACCCCGTGCAATGAGCCATAATCCTTTGGTTTGTGGCCGACGACGCTTGTATCCGAGTTACAAACAGGAAAAAAAAGGAGGAAAAAAATGTCTCTATATTCCGACTTATGCGTGGCACGTGCTTTCGTCGGATCGTACCTCGTGCCCGTATAGGTGTAATAATGCGGGCTTAGCTGACAAAACGGCACGTGCCGCAAAAGTGACGCGAGGAATATTGGCTCAATTTCTCGTTAGACTCTCGATGACGAAAGAAAAAAAAACTTGAAAACGTAAAAAGGTAAAAAAAAAAAAAAATAAGTAAACGTCGATAATGTTTTTTACGAGGAGCGAGAAGCTCTTTTTGCCCCCTCATCGAGCGAAGATCTCCGAGCTGGCAGAGATCGTTCTCCCTGTACACGACCTAGTTTGCAAAGTTGGGAAGTTACTTTGTAATATAACACTATCAAAAAAAAAAAAAAAAAATAAAAAAAAAAAAAAAAAAAAAAAAAAAAAAAAAAGAAAGAAAGAAAGAAAGAAAGAAAAACAATAACTTGGAATGGATTACATCTCACATTATCTTGAGTGCAGCGGCTAAAAGTTCTTGTGTGTTTCAATTTGAGGCGTAATAAATGCGAGCACAAGTTTTCTCGGTGTAAATGTAATTTATATCTTAAACGAATTAACTATAGTTAGCTGGAGTCCTATTTTATAATTTAGTACATTCTTTTTAGCTTTCGTTTGATAAAGAAAGGACAAGTCCCTGAGTATGCCAAAATTGTGTATGAACAGTATCTAAAATGGTAATAACAAATAAAGACCTATTCAATCATAATGTACTCGAATAAGCGAAAAAAATAAAATCTCCAAACGTTGGAATAGAGTATATTTCAAGATCTTAAGCTGCAAATAAGTTTCTTATCTTAAATCGGGATTTTTCGTACCATAAATAAACTTCGGAAATCTTCAACTATAAATGTACCATCGAAATGGTGCTAGTTTTTAATATGTAGACGCGGCTACCTTCAATCCGCTTATGCGTCAGTCGCGATTGTATTTATACAAAAGACGAGTATACATGCATAACCAAAAACTTTAAATATTTGTGTAAATTTTTTTTTTTCTTACCAACTCGTTTATCAATGACACCTAGAGGCAAAGCTCGGGGCTGGCTAACGTCTGCATCCGCGAGCATGGGGCCGTCGGACCAACCCAATCTTTCCAAAATTTTAGGAGCTCGTCGACGTAAAATGAAAGAGCAAAGCGTAGCTCGAAAAGTGCCAGTGCGCAACGATGATACGGACGCCGAAAAATGGGTCTATCGTTTCCTGGGTAAAATTTTATTCAAAGTTTATTCGAAACGTTGAATATATCATTCTATTATCAATGAAACGATGTACTCGATCTACAGGCAACTTGGCGGCCATCGAGGCTAATAAAAAAGCCGCGATAATGAAGAACACGGCGGCGATGTCACGCTTCAATAGAAAAAGGTACACAATTGTTGCTCGCGACGAATCGCGTAGGGGAAAAAATTTAACAACGACGAGGGTATAACGTCCATTAAAACCATCGAAGGCGCTCCGTAACGACAAGAAAAAGGCCGGCGGTTCATCAGCGGCTGAGATCGCCGACGCCGTACTCGTGGGATCGCGTGGCCACGCCGCCGCGCTCGCCCATCTCGGTCTTTCAGAGTCCGACCTGCGACTCGATGGACGAGCTCGAGTACCAGGAGGAGCATCGACGCCACGCGCTCATGGACGAGGACAACAACAGCGCGTCGTCGCCGTCGGTCGTCCTGGGTGAGAAGTCCTACGAGGATCCGACGCTCTTGGCGAAAATCAATCGATACATTCGCGCTGGTATAGCCGAAGGTTCGCTACTAACATTTGCACGTCCGACCGCGCACCGACTCGTATCACTTGCGTGCAAAAATAAAAGAAGAGACACACTCGCGTTATACTCGTAATATGCTAAAAAGGATCGGTCGCTTAATTGCCTCTATCTCGTGGTTATCCTCGATTATCTTTGAAAATCGTTACGTCGGTTGGCTTTAGTGCACGAGTCGGCGAAAATTCGCGGCCGCAAAACTAAAGACTCGCAAGGGCATTATAAATCTTTGCCTCTTTCGAGCTCGCGCTCGTGCGCGCGCGTACAACCTTCCGCGATCATTCGTATATAAATCAAACTATTTTCAAGCGTTGGCAACCTTCGCGCACGAATATCGCCTGGCATTTTTCCCTTTCCTTCGAGTCTCTTTCTCCTTTAACAACTATACATATGCACTGTAGCTCTCTGCAGCCTGTCTCTCTCTCGCTCACGCATTTGCAGGTAAGCGTCGCGCGCAGCGCTACGTCCGCAAAGCCCTGTCCTTCGCCGTCGAGGCGGGCTACCTGCTGCCGGCCGACCGCGACGGCAAACTGCTTCGGGTCTCGGCGTCGCTGCTTCGCAACGAGCCCACCGACGCCCAGAGACGCCGACGCAGACGCAAAACCAGCAGATCGTCCAAGATGAAGACGAGGCGGACCTCGAGGAAACGCAAGACCACGTCCAAGCGCAAGCATCGGCTGCAGTCGTCGCCGAGGAGGCAGACCGTGCCCGACGCCATGAAGACCGACGTCGAGTCTCAGAACCAGCCGGCCCCGCAGGAGAGCTGCGCCGGAGCCGGAGGACTCGAGCCCGTGCCCTCGAGGCAGAGTCGAGAGAGGTCCGTTATACCATCTCGTCTCTCGCTGTAGCTAATTCGCACGGCGTCTGTACGCATATCATCGTGTGGCCTCGCGAGCTCTGCAATTTTAATGCGCGGAAAAGTCAAAATCACGCCGCGAGAAAAATGCACGGGCCAAAGTAGAGTCCATATATAATCCCGTGCACGTGCTGTGGTCTCGTTTTCTCTCTCCCTCACTCACTTTCTCTTAATCCGAGCCGAGGCAAGCCGAGCGTACGTACGGAGCAGCAGCGTATAACCCTGGCACGAAGAACCTAATAATTCACCGTCGGCAAAGGTCCTGGGCCAATTTGTCCGCAGACAGCACGGCGAGCACAGATAAAAGCTCCGCCACCCACCGACTATACACGCGCCGCAGCCTTTTCCCAAGCTCTCTCTCCCTCTCTCACATATCTTTTTCCTCTATAACATGATATGCTTTTCTGATTCTTTTCAACGTCTCTCTTTCCCAGATTATTTACTTTTTTCTCTTGCTTCGACAATTTTTTTCATCTTCCTATGAAAAAAATAGACTCGCGTGTCGTTTGAGGATGATTCTTAATAAAATAGGCAATAAATTAACGTCGCAGAATTTTTTACTCGCGAGAATTGCAGCTAAAAAGTCTCGTCGCGTCTATGAACGTGTATGCGAGTAATATATCTATAAAAAGAGAGAGAAAGAGAGCAAAGTGACGTGAAATATAGCTCATGAACTCGGATATCTCGTTTCTCCGAGAGACAGTTGTAATTATCGGAACTACTCGATCGTGCAAAACATTTTCCTTTGAGGTTCGATTCTACACCCTATATTCCAATTCCATCACTGCAAATAGTGGATAAAAATATAATTTGTAATAATTAATTATAATTTTTCTATCGATACGAATAAAACGAAATGAAAATGACGTTTATGTTTTTCCACGACTCGATATAGATCGACCGTTGGATCGATCAAGAGCTCGAGTGCACGAAGAAGCAGTCGCAGTCGCAGCGTCTCGCGCATGTCGAACAATCAGAAAGATTCGCTCATGAGTCCGAACGACGAGGATAACGACCAAATGTGCGGCAGTGGCGTCGGTGTCCCGGTGGAAATGGGCAACCAAGACCACAGCTCGCTTATATCGAAGCCATACGCGTACGATCAGTGTTAGCGAAATCGACTCGACTGGTTCTGTGCTCTGGACTATGTATACCGAATGATGTTTTTCATGTCTCGATCCTGTTTTTTCGATAAATTCACTAGCGTCATTTCAATTGCCTGAATACTCAATAAACACTATTCGTACAATAGAACATTTATTTATTTTGGAAAACAAAAAATTAATTTTTTTGCTAAAAAAAAACAAGAGAGAACTGTTAACTTTGAAAATTCTAGTTTTCAGGCTTTCAATAAATACTTTAAATTTAAAATTGCTCATAATTTCGATTTGTATGCATCCTCACGAATGGCGTGATATCAAACATCTTTCTCGTGCTATCAAACGTTTACTCTGGAATATTCGAAATGTTGATTCAAGTAATATTCGAATGTCTACAAATCACCATTATGTACTTTTCATGCTCCACATGACCACTATCCGATAAAATCTCCCATCGAATACGTGTTACGAACGAAAAAAAAAAACAAAAAAGCAAAATGAACAAGTATGAACGTGGCTGTGAGAGTCGGCTTTTGGGCGGGACGAATGAGCCTTGAAATAGGCGCGAGTCGGACACGATTGCAGTTGCGCGATTGTTTTTATCGTCATTATAAAAAAAAAAACGTCTAGCAAAATTGTCAGTCGACACGGTTAGAGTTCGTTTTAACGCGAATTATTTATCGTCGCGTGATTTTTACGAAAAAAAAAATTATCTTTGGAATAATGATTCTTTGAAAATCCATCGTCGTTGCAATCGTCACTTTCTCTTCGGGGGGATAAAAAATTCAAGTTGGGTCTTTGGTATCTCGTGAATGCAACGGCGCGAAGGCCCTAGGACGAAAAATGGCTCCAATTAAACGAGGTGGGCTGGACTCGAACAATCGCAGCGACAAATCAAGTAAGACACTCGTAAATTATTAGAAAACGAAGCGCATCTACGGATGACAGTGAATGTCGCGCAATGAAAATCAAAAAGGTTATCGGTCGTGCGAAAATGATCTTTCCATTGCGCGAGCGGCTAAAGCTAACTCTAAATTAATGCGCGAACCAACTGCGGCTTGATCGAAAACAGAGAGACACAGACGAGCCGACGACACGAGCATGCTGTACAAGTGCATCGGACAGCTCTGCGGCGAGGAGTGCGACCGAGAGATAGTGCACGTGAACGAGGGCAGCAGCGGGGGCTCGAATCGTCGCAACCACACGTCGGGCAAACATCAGCGCGGCAACGAGGCCATGGACATGGACGCGATCGACGACGCCATGCTCAGCGACGAGGAGTACGACGAGGACTATCGGGAGCCGGCCCCGAGGCCGTCCAATCAGTCCGCCCAGCAAACGACCAAGCCAGCCGGACGCGTGCAGAAGCCCAAGGCACGCAAGGCGCCCCCAATCGCCGATATGCCCCTGAAAATCGGTACGTGTCTCGAGAGCACGCCGTCCAGAAAACGCGATCGCTGAGCCGGGAAAATTTTACAGGCGTGCAAAAAGCCAAGCGGTACATCTGCGAGGCTCTGGACTTTGGCGTTCAATCGGGCTTCCTCGTGCCCAAGGACAAGGGCCGCATCCTGCAGGTCTCGTCGGACCTGCTGAACAGCTCGGCGGACCCGAACAAGCTGAGGGCCCTCAATAGAATCGGGGGCGAGGCGAGCGGCGCGCTCCAGCGCAAGCGGACCCAGGAGATGCGCGACGACGACGCCGAGGCCGACCGGGTCCAGAGGCGCAAGATGCGCAAGGGCGGCCGCTCGCATCGGAGCCGCTCGCGCAAGCACAGGAGCAAGCGAGGCATGAAGAGCAGCCGCAGCCGCAGCAAACGCCGTCACGGCCGCAAACGCGCCAGCCACAGGAGGTGAGATCGCGTATGTGGCATTTCATTCTCATTCTCTTTCTCGCTACTGCATTACGTATGATAATATACGCGCGCGAGCTTCCTAATTGTGTTTCCTTTTGCTTATCTTGACGCCTGACTCGCGACCGCTAATTTTTTTAGTTGCTTTTTTATCTCATAGCCGCGCGAGCCCGTGCGAATGTTTTCTGAGATTACGAGCTCTGTGCGAGTAATGATTAACCTGCTATTGATCGATGTTTTACTTAACCAATTAAGACAAACGAGTAAAGTAAAGATAATGCTATAAGCGATGATAGTAGTGATGAATAGCAACTGTAACACCAAGCGAAGGCCTATGGTAAACAAATTAAGCAGAGCCAAATGATGCTTGTTTCATGCTTGTGGAATACAGTCATTCTTATTCGGCATCTTATGACAAAAAACGATATTAGTTTGACTCTGCTTCATTTTTTACCCTACACCTCCTTGGTGTATTTATCGATCGATAACTCAATCTTTGTTGCTCGATGCTCAACAGTCGGTCGGCCAACGCCGAGGGAGTAGACCCGATCAGCAAGCGAGGCGAGAAGAGCGTGGAGCAACAGCAGGACGAGATCGACGCCGATAGCAAAGAGAGCAACGCGAACAAGAGCGCGACCAACGAGGACCAAGACAACAGCCAGAACACCAGCTCGACGACGCCGGGCCAGTCTCAGGTGACCAATTACGACAGTCAGACGACCAACGACGAGGATAAAACCAAACAGCCGGACGACGACGAGGACGACGACGACGAGGACGAGGACGAGGACGAGAAGAAAAAATGATGGCAGTTCTTCTTGACTATTGGCGCGGCTCCCCGTAGTCGTTGACCATAGTAACTCGATTACTCGCCTGCTACTCGACTCGAGCTCTCATTCCCCCGTCTTTTTTACATGTTTTCAAGTGACGATTGTGATGACGATGTAGTATTGCCGCGCAAACTCTGTGTAGTTTACCTTTTTATTAATTTTTTTTCGAATTACTGTCCGATGCTTTAATTTGACTTTTCTATTTTTCACTCGCTCGGCTAAAAGTAGCGAGTTGTATTAAGTTAAAATTGCCAGTCTCATTTTCCGTGCATTCAGTTGTGTTCTCATGAATTTATGTCCCAAGACAAAAGACGTATTTGGTTTACGAGTATTATTATTGTATTATTGTACACGAATTTCCGAAATATATACCATGCACAATGTTCAACGCTACGATCGATCCTCGAATGCATAAAATTCCGTATGCAATACATTATCGCACGATCAGCGGAGAAAAAAAAATAAAAATTCCGCTTTTCTCGTCTAAAAGGGGAGATCGGAGCCGGTGATGAATTTTCTCGACGCAAAGACAATGAGTATACAGCGATTTTATTTACTTAAATACGTGCACACTTAGCCGCACACTTCTCAAAGAAGCCATAACAGCAGCAGGCGGCAGTGCGCTAAAGGCTATAAAGTTGCGTTGCGTCAAAGTTGATATACGTAATTGAAAGGCTAGTTTTTACCGGACGAAAAGTTGCATTCTCTCCGCCGCTCGCACTCTCTCGTACGCGATAAACTCAATTTGCACAAAGTTTGCTCTTGTTCTCCTCCGTCTCTGCAGTTGCTCTCCACGCGTACACACGCGCATTGTGCGCAACGTAGCAACGAAATTTCTGTTGAAATGCAGAGGTCAATCGTTCGATGTACCAGTACTTTTGTCAAGAAAACATAAATATAGACGAGTCGAGTGGTATATAGATAAAATATTCTTCGAGAAATCATCTTTCATCCTCAAGAACATGTGTATACGAGCGACCGTGAATCTGCACTTTGCCTAGATAAATCAATTCTCTTCGCTCTCTCTCTCTCTCCCTCTCTCTTCGTCTTCGTGCTTGCTTGTGCTTGCTTGTGCGTCTAGACTAAACTTCTCCCGCGATATTCCATACATCTCTCTCTATGCACGAGACCTTGCAAAAAATGTGTAAGTAGCAGTATTAATAATTCTTCAGTTTTACGAGCTTGTATAGTGGTTGTGCATCGTTTCTAAAAGAAGAACGAGAGAAAGAGAAAGTAGGAAGCAAGACGATGAATATCAGGGTGAAAAAGAAAAATAGATCCTGTTTAAATAAATAGTCATTTTGAATTTATTTTTATAGAGAAAATGCTTGATAAGAAGTGCGCATTATAAGTTGAACGCGTTACTTTTATAACTTTATTTACCTTCGCGAAAAAATGACAGTTTAACTGTGATACTTTGTCATTTGTATCGACTCTCCTGCGAACTGCAATACTGTAAGTATCGCACACTTACTCACTGTTCTGCAATTGAGAGGGCATGATATTGACACACAGGCTCATATACAATAATATCTTCAAAAATTAAAGGTAACGGTGGTTGATACTTTTTTGTGAAGAAGTAAAGGAATCCAAGTTTCATAAACGTTAAGGAGTAATTTTTTTTCAACGATTCTTTGGTAAAAAAACATTAGACTATTTCGATCGTGGAGCGACACGCACGAGCACGAAATACGAGCGGCCAGGAGTTACAAAGTCACGCGGCCAACAATATTTGTACAGCCGCTGACCTCTGGCCACAGTTTCGGATAATGAATTGTCTCGTCCAGCAGGAAAATGAATTATTTCAACTTCGGGCTTACATCTCGTCGCGAGTAAATTAAATTTAATCTGCATGAAATTAATTCTCTCTGGGCGCTTCTTTCTAGTTTCCATAAATAAAATTACCTTTAGATCAAGGCTAGGATAAAATGTATATCAAGCACGGAGAATATCGAATCGATAAATGCCTCGAAAAAAAGTCTCATATTTCTCTTCCATATACAATAACTACAGTCGGCATTCTCATGGAGCGAAAGCAAAACGATGAAAACGAGCTTTTGGCTTTTGTGCGGTGTGCGTGTGTGTGTGTGTGTGTGTGTGGCAGGCATACGAGGTGCAACGCAACGTACGACAACGATGACAATGTCGCGGCATTAGCATGGGTATATAGCGACGCAAATACGTGTGCAGATATATATGTGTATACGAGAGAGTGCAACCACGTGTATCCACGTGCCACTTGTCCAGCAGAGCAGACAATGATATGTACACGCACGCTCTGTGCATAGCCCCATACTCATGCGAGATCCGATGCACACGTTAGAAGCGAAAAAAGCTCCGAGACGTGCAGTGCGGACGCGCACGCGCCTGCACCAGCACACGGATCGCTGTTGCTTTTCGCTGCTGCTGTGTTTTCGCCGGCGAATATCTACAGTGATATAGATAGACGCGCTGGAGTTGCTCGCAGACGCGAATACACGGCGATGGTTGTTCGCGCGCGATGGGTAAGGCAGTCAGTCAGTCTACTCGGGACGATGCGACGCTTACCACGTAGTCGTCGTCATCGTCGTCGTCGTCGGCGGCCACTGCTGTTGCTGCTTAGCAACACGTGAACACGCGACGGCTCGTTTCCTTTCTTTTTTTCGTTGTTGTATCGTACGCGAGCACGAGCTCTGTAGGAGCATAAATAAACTGAAATCGTGCTCCAACTGTCGACGTTCGGTCTGATAGAGCAAAAAAAAACAAATAATAACAAAGTTAAGGCTACTGAAACGAAGGCTTTTTTCGATTGTGTACAGTTGATGAAAATATACAGTTGGCTTTGATCGATTGATGCAATAGCTACACTCGATCATGCTTATAGTACATTCGACAGATTGTGTGCATGTATTTAATTGAAAAAAGAAAATGCAAGAGAAAGTAGTGGGTTAATAGCTAAGCTCTTTCTACGAGGTAAGTTGTGAGGTGATTCAAAGTATACTAATGACAATTTCCAAGTACGTTTTTGTCAGCTTGCTGATGAATGATGATCATTAAAAAAGCTTTTCAGAAACTCATGCTTTCCCAAAATTAATTTAAAATTTATCATACAAGCTTTTGTTTTTTCTCTATTAATAAAAGATGCAAGAAAAGCTATTACTTATTTCAATTTTAATCTAATTAATATACATTTTTTTGTGTTTATTTTTTTTGCGTTAAGAGGGAATTAAAAATTGATGTGCTCTTAATGGAGAATTGATTAATTTTAAAGTATCTGCATCATCTAAGGAAAAAGTTAAATTTTCATTGATAATGCACGATGATACATTATTCACATAATCAATGAAATTGAGCTTCTTTATAATCAATTTAACAGTCTTTCTGCCGAGCTGAATTGAAAAAGAAAGACATTTTTAAGAAAGGTATTTATGTAATTATTTTAAAAATTTGTTTTAACACTGGGCAAAAAATGTCCGAATGAAGTATTATTTATGCGTTCTTAAGTAAAATATTAAAACTTTAATTTTGTTTTGTCGAATAATAAGATAATCGGCCTCATATTCAACAGATGAAATAAATTTTTAGTTTCGTATGTACAGTGCTTTTGAGTGTGTGTATAACTTCGTTCCGCTATAAGATTCAGGCACTTAACAAGTATAGCCAATACGAAATAAAAACAAGAAGTTTTAATTACATTTTTTCTCAGCTTTATAAAAAGAAAATAATTATTATTCAGAATAACTTCCTACGGTCGTCAAACGAAGTGTACTTTACAGTGTCTATTTTCCTATATTTTGTTTTTTTGGCAAATTATTCTTTGTCTCGATTTGTCAAAGAAATGAATTTTTTACATAATAATCGATTGATTTCTCTTGTTTAGTATTTTTAACGCAAAAATTGTGTCTGAGTGCGAATAACTATTTCTTTAAACGTCATTGCCCTACGTATAATACTCTAATCCCTAGATTTTACGTAGGCACCCCATTTACAGACACTCGTAAACTTACTTTATACTTGATTCCAGCCACCGCAAACGCATAATCTATTATTTATACACCGCTCAATCTGACGATCGTAATCTTATTTACAGTTGGTAAGAAACAATCCGTCTGTACGAGGTATCGCGCGCACTTGGACTTAATACTTTGTACGAAACAAAGTGTAATACACATCTTCAAAATCCAATTCAATTAAACTTTATTCTTTAAGAGTAAATCTACTTGCTGCTTGGATGTGCAAGTGTTGATCTTCAGAAGATTTTCTTGATTTCGATGTCATGTGCGTGCTTGCTTAATTGAAAATTGACCTACCTGTAGCTGACACTGTACACTATCACAATACGGTATTTTGAACTGCATAGTGTATAATGTCAGATCCATTATACGAATCGACTAGATTACTATAGTTTTTTACAATCCATGAATTTTTGAAGTACCCATATATATAGGGAAGTAATACAGAAATTTATAAGCCGTTTATTAGAATGTCCCTTCTTTGATAGCTGCATAGAGAAGTTGCTTTCCTGAATCGATTATTTAATACTTCAAGTTGTTATGAATGAATAATATTATTAGTTCTCAGATAAATATTTATTTGATAAAATATTAATAAATTTTATAACGGCACTGCACAACCATAGCGCTACAAATTTATGTTTTATCGAATGGTCTGCAAAAACACTCGCGTTCATTTTTACGGCAAGTTCGAGCCGTTATATTTGAGGCCCAATTGTAACCTTCTACAAAATTCCTTTCTGAATTAATTAATAACTTTTAAAAATTAAAAACAAGATGAAACAAGTGCTAAAAATATCTACCATCATAACCATCTTATCATACTGCGTCTTACCAATTCCAAGATCTCAAAATGGGACTCAGAAACGCCTTTCCTCCTCTCACTTTGCGCCCCACTCTTGGGTTCCCACTCTCTCGCAAAATATAAATGACTTGGCCAACGAACAGAGCGATAACATGCAATGTTAGGCGGAGAATCTGAGCATCGTCTCCCACCAGTTTCTCTTGAAAGTACGGGCTGGATGTACAACATGGGGCCCATGGACAAGAGAATTAAAAAACAAGTCTATTTCTATCGTTTCACGAACAAAAGCAATGAACACCATAAACCAAACTGTATAATTTATTATCACATTTAAACCTCAATCAGATGTTCTTTTTTATATAAAATAAATTCTTCTATAACTATTATTATAAATTATAAGCCAATTCTTTTTTATGCGTTGTATATTTGTTTTATGCTCAAATTATTGACTAGTCTTAACTATAATTACATTAAAGATGAATGATTTTCCAAAACTATAAGTTAGTGCTAATGAAATGGTTCTTTACTGCTGAAATATTCAATTTAAGCATCAATATTGTTTTATAATTATAATGAAGGACAGAATAGATAATTTATCATAAACAGTTTATGCTAAGTATGAGTATACTCAAGGCGTAAATGCTTTGAGAGGTATTATTTTTTTTAAAAAGTTCAAATGGTTAAAAGATTTGATCGTCTGAATTCATGGTTTTATTTTGTTTTCAAAAACCATAAAAGATGAAATGCTTGAAGTAGAAAATCTTAAAACTTCATTGAAAACCTACCTGCACATTAATCACGATATCGCGAAGAATTGATTAAACAAATGATACATGTATAGAAAATTACGAAAGGGTGATTATTGACATTAAATCTCATTCGTTCAAGGGCACAAAAAAGGAGTGAAAATTTCCAATTCGAGTGCTATTTCAAGTTATAAATTCTCGCGTACAGTTAGTGCAAGTATAAAAGGACGTATAAATCGAATATGCCACTCTCGCTGCATTGGTTATTAGGCGGCGACAACTGAAATGAATTTTATACTTTTTTTTCCACGATCGTTCTCTTTCGCGTCCTCAGAATTAAGCGTGGAATTGCATTTAGCAATTGGGAAAGGAAAAGGAGAAAGACGAAAAATCGAATTATATTATTATGCGTTATTACAGTCAAGGTCGTTGATTTGGAAACAGACAGAGAGAGAAAATAAAACTTGACCTTATATGATTTGTCGACGTTTATTTTCGAGATGATTATTATTTCATGGAGCGTCAGTAGTTGCAACGATTGTTACAATTACGTCAGTCGAGTTGGGAATATTCTAGCGTTTCTCGGCACATGTATACAGATTCTAAGGCTGTATACTTCTCGTGTAACTGCCGAGCACTGGTCATTGTTGTTTCTTTTCTTAAGAATCGTCGAGGGTTTATTGTTGCTGGATCGCGGGCAAGTGTTGGCGTATAGCTAGCGGAGAGAGCATACAAATTTTAACTACCCTAAAACGATATTTATCGTCAGTGCTGCTATATGCATTCGCCATCATAAATCATAATTTTTTATCAACGCCATGGCTTGGACGTAGGATAAAATTTAAGAAAGTCTCTTATCAAAATCTTGGCTTTTTGCTCAAACAACAAACAAAAGATTTTTGCGATAAAAAGATCCGTAACGAAGCTGCTATTATAAAGTGCGTCTATAGCAGCAACAGCAGCGAAGCAGAAATAAGTCAATAATTATGTGGACGTAAAAATGCACGTGTATAAACTTTGTGCGTCGACGTCGTCGCTTCATTGTCGTGCATCCACGAGCGAGGCTCTAAAGCTCGCTCGGCTCGAGTTCGTTAATCGATACACGCGCTTACGCTCGCTATACATAAGTGTATCAACAATCGTTAAAATCTACAGAATCTCTCGTACATCAAAAGAACTCGTGCGGCGCGTGTCGTGTGTAAATAAACACGACGCATCTCTCCTCTGACACGTTTTTACGCATGCATAAATAGGAGAGAGTTAAGGCATGCGTAAGCGTCTTGTACAATTACGCACGATGAATGTAATGTTGTTTTAATAATGCCGAGCGCCCGAGAATACGAGCTTATATCGTATATACCGAAAAGCTGAGCTAAGTTTGCCTATATTATATACTTTGGAAACATATGCAAGTGATCATGTTGCTCGCCCGTCAGCTTTCTCTTATACCTACGTGGCCGCACACATCCATGCTTGAAGCGTATTATATATCGCGTACAGAGCAGCATATGGTCAGCTGCAGACTCACGTCAGTCGGTCCGTCCGTCCGTACGCGAGTGCGTGCGATGAAGCTATAGTTGCTACTTGACCAACAATGAATTATGTTTATGCCTCTAAAATAGGTCATTCGTGCTGGAATCGTGCTTTCTTTGAACTTCATATGTTTACTCGCATGTGTGTGTTTGCATTGCAAGTTTCGATGCATTTTTCAAAAAAACAATCACTGCGTAGTGCACGATCGTATGTATATTAGATTTGTACTCTAGGGTGTTTCGTATACCCAATGCTGAAGATTCGCTCGTTTCTCGAGATGAAAAATGGCAAAGATTAAAAATAACAATGAAAAATTTTAACTCATTGGGCAAACAAAATTCAATATTATGCGCATTTTAAAAATTGTGACACGTGTTTTCTATTTTAATTTAATTATATATATACTATTCTCAATAATCTTGCTTTAGTTATAATTGAATATGTTTCTCTTTCTTTTTGAAACCTTTCATAATTTCCTATTTTGGCGTAGTAGTCAGATTTTTAACTTACGAGCAATTCACGGCTTTAGTGGGTGTTGAAGTTAGAGCAAAAGAAGTACTATACACACGCACGTAAGCAGATTCTTGCTTTTTCATTGAGACTTTTTTATCTGCAAAACCGTAACGTAAGTTCTGTCGACAGTAATGGGCTTGGTCGGATGTGGAATTTCAAGATGCTATATGTACTTGTGCTTACATGGGCACACAAACACACACACACACACACGCACACACACGTATACGCACTCGCGCACAGTACGTTTGTATGTAGCAAATCTAAGAGAAAAGTTGCAGTGCACTGCGCAGCTTACTTTACCCATTAGTCTTGTATTGCCGCGAGCATTACAAGGAAATGTACGCGCTATAACGTCTGCGC